ATGTTCCACTTCCTTTACTTTCCAGCTCCATTTTGCGACTGTAACAGATAATGTAAATTAGCAAAAAATGCGAGAAATATTATGAAAGGTACAAAACGACCAATATACCATTTTCAAGGATAAAGAAAAAGGCAAAAACGCTATAAAAGCCATGCTAATTTGTCAAAATGACGCTAAAGATTTTTCTCCCTTTCAAGTCATGAAGTTGCGACGTGGTGAAGAATACGGTATCGCCAAAAAAACTTATGCATAGACATTTTCTCGATGTAAAATTATTAGAAAAGGCCTTTACGAAATTCGTGAGAAATTACGCATTACGAACCAAAAAATTCGGGTAAATACCGAAAGCAATTGGTTTTTTGTTATGCCAGTTGGGCATCACCCGGTTCGCATAACCAAATCACGCCAACAGGTTTCCCCAAACAACAGAGTAGAAGCGGACAATGCTATGCAGAAATGCAATAAAGGTGGGAAGTCTCTCTCTCTCTCTCGCTTTCCCTCTTTCTCTCTCTCTCTCTCTCTCTCTCTCTCTAATTCTAAAACCTTCTCTAGGCCTATTTCCCCGCTGACCGGCTGGAAAATCAAATCGACCCCCGGCAAAAGTAAATATTATGTATGTGGCTTGTCGACATGGCCGTGCAAATGATAAGCTGCTGGCAACCGTGCGGGAGACAGAGATTCGGAAACAAAGTCGAGACTTTTAAGGCTATTGTAGGAAAATATTTTATATTAAATAATGCTCTGAGGTATCATCAACTTCTGCCAAAAAAAATCTAAAGATAATGACGATGCATTAATGACGACTTTTCGAAAAATTCGGAAAATTTAAACCTTCAAGAGATCGGCCTTTAGCTGTGTTTATGAAACAACATAAGCCGAAGAAAAACTGCCAAGATGTGAAAAGCAGTTTTGAAAGGATTAAGGTTTTTTCTTTCCTCAGAAAAAAACGCCGAAAATTAAATGGAAGAAACTGATTCACAGGCTGGTCATGACAATATTTTTTTTAGGGATTCCTTTTGGATTGGAAAAGGGCAAGGGCTATGGGAACACGGAAGGATTTGGAGAGGAAAATTCGGGGTGAACCGAGAAAAATTAAAGTGAGGTGAAGTAGGCAGGCAAAATTCGTTTTTTGAATAGCCGAATATCGCGAGCTCTAAGGGCCTATATTTAGATTTATAGCCAATTCCAAGCAATTCCAAACGGCAACCGGGGCTGTGTATAGCCTCCGGGCAAGGCGGGCGGATGGAAATGTAATATTTGGTCAAGCGCTGGAGGGGGGTGGTGACCCACCCGAATAATACTCACCTCCACACACCCACATACACACATGGCCATGCTGAATAATAGGGCCCCACGGAGCCCATGAAATGTAACTAGAAACCCAAATCGGGCAGGTGGGGAACACCGGGTTAGGCGGGGGATTTCAGGTACGGAATTAGTAGTGGTACGTAATTTGGGGGGGGGGGCAAAGAAAAGGTATGAGCTTAGGTTTAGCTGAGGCTTAGCTTGGTGGCTTATGTTTAGCTTAGGCTGCCTTAGGCTTAGCTTAGCCTTAGCCTAGGCGTAGCTTAGCTTAGGCTTAGGTTTAGGCTTCGTTTTTAGGCTTAGGCTTCAGCTTAGGATTAGGTGATTATGGAGGTATTTAAATTTGTCAGCGAAAAGGCCGGAACGGTATCTCGATCACAAAATTAAGGAAATATTTACGACCGCCATTTTGATTAACAAGCAGTAAATAAAGGAAATAAATACGTAAACCGTCTAAAATGGCAATTTCTACAAAAATAATTAGAGTATATAATTTTAATGACTGCGTGAGTCAAATTGAGTGAGTCAAAGTCCTTCAAATTGCTGAGCACGAGCCCGCGCGATCAATAAGCATACCGCCGCGCGCCCGTTTGTCCTTGGCTTACAGGGAGAGAATTCATGTGGAAGTGAATGAATGGGGGTGGGAACAACGGATCGCCGACGAGGTGCTACCATTGACGGGAATGGTGTGGTGACCGGAGTAATTGGGTGGAAAATTGAGCAAGTATTATTGGCATTCGAAAATTGCCAAGATAACTAGAGATACCTTACGCTCGTTCTTTGAGATTTTGATCAAAGAGCGAAAAAGAGAGAGAGAGAGAGAGAGAGAGAGAGAGAGAGAGAGAAAGAGAGAGAGAGAGAAGAACAGAGAAAGAGAGAGAGACAGATAGGAGAGAGAGAGAGAGAGAGAGAGAGAGAGAGAGAGAGAGAGAGAGAGAGAGAGCAGGATAAATGAGAGGGAACGAGACAGCGAAGGAGAGCGAGTGTGATAGAGAAATGGAACTTTCTCTAAAATGCAATATATGAATAGCAAATGCCTTAAAAGATGTTAAAACTCAGAAAACATGGTTTTCGGTCGCGTGACATACAAACCTACAAGAGATCTGAGCTCGCGCTCCCCAGCCCATTTTCAGTCGACCCGGGGGATCCGGAGCGAGAGAGAGGAGAAAGAGAGATAAAGCGATCGAGAGGGAGAGAGCCGTATTTGGGAGCGGAGGGAAAAGTAGTGGATAGATCGCATCCGAATCAATATCCCTTCCCCCTACCAATCTCGGAACCGCAGCGGGAAATGGGCCGTTACACCTGACCGGCCATTGTCAATTTGCCGGTTTTCAGGAAGGTTATTTTGCAAGTGTTTTCTCAAACTCATCCTCTTTTCGATGGGAATTTTAATTTAGGTGCTAATGCCCTTGGGAGGCGGCGGAGGCTGTCCGTATTTTCACTACAAAACGCTCCAAATGCCGTTTTTTAATCTCGAAGCTTCTGGAAAAGCTAAGCTAAGCCTAATCCTAGGCTTAGCTTCATACAAACGAAGCCCAAGCTCAGCTTGAGCCAAGCTAAGCCTAGCTCTAGTCTAACCCTTAAATGCCCCCATTTTGACCTCGTAAGGCAATTACAGCTCAAGATAAGCTTACCTTCGGCTTAGATTCATGCCTCAGCCCAAGCTTGGCGTAGTTAAAGCTAAGTAAGCCAAGGCTTCAGCTGAAAACCAGGTAGCTTAAGCGGAACGCCTTGTAGCCCCTGACTACCAATTGCGGACTGCCCCCCCCCTAACTACAGTAGCACCGTAATTTATTTTCGTATCATAAATCCGGTTTTTGTAGAGAAAAAAAATCCCAATAAGGTCCAAATTTCGTTGCCTCCTCGGTTCTCCAGGAGAGTTGGTAGCGGATTGTGGCCGCTCGCATACCCAATCTGCAGATTATATCGTGCTCCAAATCCCGCAAGTCAGCAGATCCGTAGCGTGAGGTCAGGACGACAAGATTGGAGGTTTGTCATCACCGTCGAAGTTACGGTAGCCGAAGAAAAAGAGGTGCTAAATGGCAGCGAAAACAAATCGCGGTCGGAGTTGCCTAGTTTTTGGCCCACTTTCTCCACAGGGAAAACCAGTTCAAGCCCGGCAAGAGACGCCAGGAATAGATTTTGCGGCTCCAAAATGGCGTCGCTAGGAGCGTGACGTGGCTCTGAAGGGAAGATAAGCATTCAAAATCATTATAAACAACAATAAGCGATCAAAATTTGGCAAAAATTTCTTGTCGCTGTCCCCTGGAAGGGCAGAAAAAGTTGATTTTTCTTTTGCTCGAAAACACTATGCTATTTTTTTGATTTAATATCCTACAGGGTGAGCGTAAAAAAACAAAAAACTATTAAAAAGGTAAAATAAAAGGAAAAAATCACATGTATAAACATATTTACACATTTATTAACTGCCAAATCGCGTAAAATTCTTTAGTATCATCAAGTTCAAGCCGTTCAGAAAACATAGTGACAAATTTAGGAACCGTAGATAGAGAAAGAAAAATAGGACCACCACTACGTCTTCGGGTCTCTGAAGTTACGCAGTTGTGGGATTAGGGTCCTGGCCCCAGGGGGGTCCCGGTTTTGGGGGGAGGGGAAGGGGTTGATCGGGGCTGAGAAGGGCCCACGGTGTCACCACGAGTGCGGGACCACACATAGATCGGGCCAAATAGAGTAGCACGCATCTCTTGCATCGAGTCCCACACCAACAGGGCCATTCTAGGGTTTCATTCCGAGCCTTGGGGTATGGAGAGAAAAAAGGAATTAACTTAGAGGACCTGTTGATACAGTTATTTTTTCGTCAAATTTTGGGCACATGTCTATAAATTCATCGTCTTTTGAAAACACTCAAGCTAAAAGTATTCAGTTTTTCATAGTTTTTAAACGGGTCTAAAACCTTGAAAAAGTGGCAGAAGCAAAGATTTTTGAGGAGACGGAAGATGTCTTCACTTGTCTTGACAGCCTTACCTAAATACAAGCACGTTAGAATTCCCCTATAGAGGGGTTTTGAAAAGGTGCCTGGCCAATGAGCACAAACTCTAAGGGAGATCACGGCTTCTTCAGCTTTATGCGGCGGCTTCTGGGCCAAATTGTCTAATGGCCAAATTGTCCTTATTGCGCTTCTCTAGCTTGAGTTTTCAATGTGCTAGATATTTCGGTCCCTGGAGCCATCAAAGCTTGTCCAAAATTCGGCTTCCTGGTTTTTACCCAGTTAATAATTACTGATCAGTGTGCTCCTGCTTTATTTACTGTCAACTTGACGCCCGGTTTGGCGAGCCCGCGTGTATCACCCTCCAACTTGAAGCGGAAGTATGGTGTGGGGTGGACTGGGGGACTCGTCTAGGTCAATATTACCATCATCTCGGTCGGATCTTCCCTTCACCCCTTCGGGGCGCGTAAGGAAAGGTAAACCCCAACCACAGCTGACTAATAAGGAAATGCGTGACCGGGGTTTTCGGGTTGTTTTGGACTTTTAACGTTGCGTATACGAGGGTTGTTGCAGATTATAGGAGTGTTTCGCGGTACCGCACGTAGTCCGCTCTATCTCTCTCTCTCTCTCTCTCTCTCTCTCTCTCTCTCTCTCTCTCTCTCTTTCTTTGTCTCTCTCTCTCACTTTCGCTCCCTACGCTTAATTTATCAGATTTATTCAAGTATTGAGCAAAATTCACATGAGATCATTCTGACTTCTTCTTCTCCCTTCGCTTCGCCTTTACAGGTGCTTCCTTGATCTTGACCGGCTCGGCGACGTCTTTCCCCTTGTATATCCTAAAAATTAACATACGCCAATATTTCTCCTATTTTCGATTCAGCTATATAGTAAAAAATAGTACCTAAATTGCCAGAGTAATAGCAAGCTGATGGCCACCGAAAAGCCGCGCATCCCGACCATTTGCAGCGGTTCTTTTCGTTTCGTTAGGCAACGGCCGAGGTCGGCTAAAAATAGAAAAAAAATACAGTTTAAAAACATGATTAAAAGATTGTTAGTAAATCATCCCTAAGATACACAAAGTTTAAAACCCACCAAAAATCACCAAAAACGTCGAGGGCAGTGACAGCTGGCCGGTCGATTTGTTCTTGAAGTTTAACCGGGCTTGGACTAGCTAAAAAAAATTTTGTAAAATTATTTCAAGATTTTTTGTTCAGAGTAATTTTAATTCTCAATATATGACACATCCGAAAACGTTTTCTAAAGCTTTTGAACCACGAAAGCTTCTATTGTATTTTTTTGTTTGGAATTTTGAATAAAAACTCACCTTGGAAGCTATCCCGATCGGTACTGAATACTGAAAAATAGCCCTTAACACCGTAACCGGCACAAACTGGCCGATCACGGCGAACATGGCCGCCCAGCAGGTGGCGATGAACGCGAATGCAAATGAGGAATGGGTGGAATAGTAGAGAATTAGGGTGAATAGGAGCATTTGTTGGATGAGGAGGAACACCGAGTCACCGTATTTACTAAAAAAATATTAGTCACCGTATTTTAATGATATGACCGGCTTAAATTTGACTTAAAGGTGCTAAGATTTTCAAAAGCTACAAAAAATCAAACAAAGAAAATGTCATTAGCTTCTCGAAAATTTATGCAAATTTCAGCAATTTTTGCATTTTTTATCGGTAAATCCGCCAAATCCTCCAAAAACTTTTAGATAAATCTAATAAGCCTGGATTATGTTTTATTAAGCAAATAGAAAAGAAGAATTTTAGTAATTTTTTGTATTAAAAAATCAATATTAACGATTTTTACAAACCTGAACGTCGTCCCCTTGTGAAATCCATAGGCGGCCGTCCCAGCGCTCGAGATCATTCCGAGAAACTACAAAATCCGACTGAAAATCTATGTTTTTTAACTGACCACGGCCAAATAGCTAATTCCCTGCGAATTTCTGGCGTTCAGAATCTTGGCAAATTGCGGGAAGTAGACCAATGTCGAGGCGCTTGTCACAAAAATCGAAAACAGGCGGAAAAGCGCCATTCTGGCACAGTGGGCTAAAAATAAAAAAGTTTAATAAATAGTATATAAACGGCTGATTAAAACACCTATGCTGCAAAAATACTAGAAAAATATAGCAAAAGCTCACAAACCCACATGTAAAGTCCATCTCCTTGAACAAGACGGCCGAGCAGTTGCGCGGGAATAAATACTTCCAGGCCATATTTGTGTAGTGGTCCATTTCTAAAAAGGGGTGTCAGTTTCAGGAAGAAGAATACATTAAAATAAAGAACGGATCGTTTAAGACAACATATGAAACGTTCGTAAAAACGAAAACTTGAAAAAAACGGAAACTGAATTGGCAAAATTTGGAGTTTTTCCTAAGAGCCTTGGAAAAACTGAATCCCCAATTACGCTATGAAATTACGTTTGAATAATATATAGTGGATTGTTCGCAAATTAGTTTATAAATTTGATTCACGGGTACGCAGTTAGTTTTTGTTGCAAACGGGAGAAACCAGGGAGTAGAGCGAGGAGAAACTTGCTAGGGACGACTGAAACCGAACGCGCTATGTGTCCCGACAGGCTTGTGCTTGTATCTTGATTTTTTAAGGTTACGTGCATGCAGCTCGCAAATCATCAGCGGTAATAAAGTAAGGAAACCGATCACGCCATGTATTTATCGATAAAAAATCTCGATCAAATTCCTCTTAAACGTCCGAAAAGAGCCTAGCGCAGGTGAATGTCGCCAAGCTATCAATCACACAGCATAGATAAAAAGGGAGGAAAAAGTGCATTTTTTTACCGTTAATGCATCGAGCTTGAGGTATCGAACTGAGGTTGCCAGTTGGGGTTCCTCGGTGATGCATTCGGCAAATTCGGGCTGCCACCCCTAGAGGCTAGAGGCACTAGGGCCAGCCAGGGGGTGTTCGCCTTGCTCTATATCTCTTGCTCTGTCTCTCTCTCTCTCTCTCTCTTTCTCTCCCTCTCTCTCTCTCATAATCGATAGTCTGGGCCATTGGCCAGCTGGCGCCAACGGCCAGTGGGGGGTGCCGCTAACTAGGGCCCGCCGTTCGTACCCTGGGGACACCAAATTGGGGGTGCCCACGTTGGATTCATCGATTTTATACACGAAGAACATTAATTGTGTGCTATAATATAAATTTAAATAGTTTTTGGAAAAATGGGCACCAAAAATTCGTGGAAACTCGAACAGCAAAAAAAAATGGATTTTTGCCCTAAAAATGCAATTTTGGTGGCTTGCCAATTTTCTCTTTTGGATAATGAATGTGCATATTAGAATTCAGCAATTACTTTAGGATATGCATTGGAGATGTAACTTTTAAAGCGATGGTGCCACTAAAAAAAAATGCGTAAAACCTCGAAAAAACCGAAAAATTACGAATTAGAATTTTTTTGATTTTTGGTGTGAGAAGTTGTGCAAAAGGTAAATGTTGTGACTTTTAAATGCAACTGTTTCAACGACACTAAATTTCGAATTTAAATTTTGAGGGGATGCCAGCAAAAAAATGCAGAAAATCCGAAAATTTCACGAAAATTGTATTTTTGATTTTCGATTTTACGCGTTCTTCGGCAAATTTCATCGTGTTTTGTGCATTTTTGTAGTCTTATTGTAATAGACATCAAAAATAATTTATTACTGACTGTTCAAGCATGCCGTGACAGCCTAAGAAGAGAAAAAAGCCTACAAAAAACACAAACAAAACTGTTCTGCCCTGGGAAATAAGTTAAAGCGGAATCCAGGAGAAGCTGGCTGGGGGGACCAGGAATAAAAAATAATGACCAAAACATTATTGCACATATAAATTCGCCAAAACATAAAGATATAAAAATATGCACAAAAATAGCTATTTTACAGTATGCAAAAGTGACAGTGGGCTGAGTAGATAGGAAAAATGCCACGAGAATTCGGGTGCGTGGAAAGTATGTCGAGGGGAATAAGTGAGAATGCATAAATTGGCAAGAAATTTGGGAATTTTGGGAATTTAAAAATTTCGGACCTCAGAATACCGACAGCAAAATGCCGACATCGAGAATCTGGACAGCCAGAATACCGACAGCCAAAATCCCGATATTTTATTGCCGCTAATTTGAATGCGGCCTTCCTTTAAAACAGCAATTTTACCAGTCGGTATTCCGATTGTCGGCATTTTGGCTGTCGGCATTTTGGCTGTCGAGATTCCGCCTGTCGGCATTTCAGGTATTTCAATGTTTGTAGTTGTTTTTAGTTTAACGTTAAAGTATAGAAATTTCAACCACAACAATTTGGGAATTTTTTTAAGCTGAATTTTCGTGGGTTTTTGATCGGGATTTGGTGGACTAGAATTTTTGGGTACAAGTACAGACTACAAATAAATGTCTTATTAATAACACTACTACGTATTGCTACGGCGTACAGGGGTATTACGGTATGTAAAACAGGCTACGGGCTACAACTTCTACTGCGCCGTGCTCACGTTGAACACCTCCAACTCGTGGATCTCAAAGGCGGTGGAGGCGACGAGGGGCGGGCTTCCGAACGTGGCGGAGCCGTTGGTGATGCCGTTGGACAATTCTTCGGAGATGCGGATGGCGTCCCCGTTTCCGGAACCGATCTAAAAAAACGATACAATACTGAGTCAGGCTTAAGCTTAGGCTTAGATTTCGGCTTAAGCTTAAGCCTAGGCTTAGGCTTAGCCCTTGATTTGAAACTTACAATAAGATATTTATCACCAGCCGCCATAAACATCTGACACGCCTGATCGGGCTGCTCCCCGCTCGTCCCCACCCAGTTGTAGATGATCTGAAATTCGTATGGTTAAACTGTAATAAACTTTCCAGTTTTCAAAATCAGTAAATTTTTGAAGAGCTCACCGGCAGGTCAGCAATGTCATTTTTATCCACCCTGAACACGAAGCTCTCGCCGGTGCCGAAGTACCTGAACAAGTGGATAATTTTTAATCCGACAGGTAGAGTACGTTACGATACGGCGTGATAGGGTACAGTACGATGCGCTACTGCTGCGTACTATGCCAAACGGTACGCTACGCTACATTTCCTTAACGCTACGATACGCCGCAATACAGCTGCAAGCCGGTGTAATGCGCTAAGGTTGCATTAAGGTATGATAAGATGCGGTACAACACTCCGCTCCTATCCGCAACGATACGCTACGATAGGTCTTTTTTCAGTATACCGAAATCCATAGCACCGAAACCCATAATACCGAAATCCATAATGCCGAACGCCCGAAACACCGAAATCCATAATGCCGAAACTGAGCTATATCTCGAGTGGCCAAACAATCTAGAAAACTTTGAAAAATGCTTGAAAATGTATAACTTTTTTGGAGAGGATATTTTTAGCTTTGAGTTGTCTTATTACAGATTGAATTTCGACATATTAATGTGTGTGCCTTTGATTTTTTACTGCAACTTCAGCTAAAAAAAATATCCTTTCAAAAAAGTTGGTTATTTTCAAGCAATTTTGCAAGCTGTCTAAATAGTTTGCAACTCAAAATATAGCTAAATTTCGGTGTTATGGATTTCGGTATTATGGATTTCGGTATTGTGGGGCCAAATCGCTACGATACGCTACACATTACTTACTTCGTCCTCGTCCGCTCGTGTCTATCATTCCGCTCGGACCACGAGGCGCTACAGTAGGCCCCGAACACTTCTCCCATGACTGATCGGATGATGATGATCGACTGGTCGGCTTCGTCGACCCTAAAAATTAGCATAAAATCCATTAATATTCTCAAATCTAGATCTCTAACCGCTTTTGGGTATCAAAAACCTACTTATTCCACAGCTGCGTAAATGACGCTCCGTCTTTGCTGAGCCTGAATAGGAGCTGCGGGGTGCTGAGCTGGAGACGGGGCGGTAGGGATTGCATGATGAATGAGGCTTGCTCGGCGTCAACTGAAAGTATGAATTTAATTTGATGATCCATAGCATATTACTATTTATTTTCTTTATCTATTTACTGCTATAAAATGAAATTTAAGATTCTAACTAACCAATCACGCTCTGAAAAACGTCCGTGAAGAGGCGGGCCTTCGGGCGGCGGCTGAGGGATTTGCTGGCTCGCTCCTCGACCTCGTTGGCAACCTGAAAAGGTGAAAAATCGGTATTAATGTTTGGGAATTAAATTTGAGCGGTTATAATATAAATATATTAACTAGATTTCATTTTCCTTTAATACCTTAAAACTGACCACTTTCTCATAGTGCTCCTGGTAGCGCTGAATCGTGGCGCTTTTCAGGTTTCGGATCCGGATGCAGGTTTCGATGAAGGTGTCGGGGGAAATCTGAAAGCAAGGTATAAAATCTGAGCATTAATAGATTGCATAAAAGTTGCGAAAAATTGCTTGTTAATTCCTTAAAAAAGGGTATAAATTTTCTACCTGGCACTGCCTGGCGGTGGCAAGCAAGTCTTCTTTGACGGCTTGAATGCGTTCTTGTTGGCCCATTCCGGAGTAGCGTTCATCGTTGGCGTCCTAAATATTAAATTAGTTTTTATTTTACAGGTCGTATTTAATTTTCAAACGTTCATCAATGAAGACCCGGGTCTACGCTTATTTCTAGAGATCATTAATTGTCTATAGAAAAAAACTTCAGGGAATCTGATAGCAAAAAGTACGATTTTTTTTGTTCACCTTCTGCATCTTCGACCAAATGTAGACGATAGCAATGGCGGCACGCATTAAGAATTTCTGGCCTTCGACGAGGAAACAGTCCAACACGCGCACGACGTACGGGAGTGGAAGGCCGCGGAAAATCCATTGCAAGTAGTCACGCATCTGAAAAAAGATGATAAGCGGCAAGTTCCTAGACGGTTCCCTCTCTCTCGCTCCCTTCCTTTCCCTCTCTCTCTCTCTCTCTCTCTCTCTCTCTATCTCTCACTCTCTCGCTCTCCTCTACCTACCGTCTCGACCATCACGGCATCGTCGGAAGTATTGCACCGCTTTTTCAGCAACGAATAAGTTGATGTTTTATGTTTCTTGATGAGCGCCAAAAGCGTATGAGCCGTGGCGTACCACTCCTTCGTCGACTTGATGAGGAACCCCTGGAAATCGAAGTCTTATTTTTTGTTTCCCAAATTTTAACCCGAACTAAACTTTCCAATTATAGCAAATCGAGGGGTTAGGTGGTGTTAATTATGGAAATTGCGGCATAACCGATAGAGAAACATGCAGGGAGCACAAACACAACAAACAAAAATTCTAACATAAATTTGGGCTGGGAATGGCCTTTGGAATTCACGAAAGTTGCTAGGCCCTTGAAACCGTGCTTTCACGATGGTTCGGGTAACTAGCGGAGATATTTAGGCAAAGGCAAGTCAGCAGGGTTTATTTCGGAAAATGTTCCTCGATGTAAAGGGTCGCCGAAGAGAAAAATCCGTATGAACACGGTATATTTTAAAGATACGACAACAGCATTCGATTTTGCTGAGGCAAACTAGCAGAGACGCTTCCGGAAATCACGATTTTTTATGGAAATTTTTATCAAATATAGAATAAGCCGTCACCTTCCCTCTAAGGAACCAGTGAAGCCATAATTTGTTACAGATCTTGGCCATTTCCACCCGGGACCCAGTCGACCATGCATATTTTCCGAGTCTATTTCGCATGCATCATTCTCACCAGTGGCGCGTTGTGCGTTTCCCACTTTTCGCGCTCGTCCATATAGCCGTTCTGAGCACCTTTGGCCCCATCAAATCGCCGCTTAAATTCACGACAAATGTACAAACTACACGACCACAATCACGAGAAGCACTTAAATTCTGAATACCACAAATTCAGATTTGTTGCACTTTTTACAACATCACCACCATCACGAGCGTGTGCACGACAGAAAACACGATTTTTAGGGAGATGTTTTGAATTTTTTGATACGAATATTTGAATTTTTGAAGCTCTTACCTTTCTCAGCAAAAACTCGGTGCACGCGTACGCCTCGCCGTCGGACATGTAGTGCAGCAACAGCGCGCAGAGAGGGTAGAGGAACTGAAAAACTATTAAATTTTTCCGATTTCCAATAATTTTTGTTCATTGCTTGTGGGCCGCGTGCATTCGAACCATATTGACACGTGGCTGACCTCAGGAGCTAAGCGAAATTTTTTCAAAAAATCACACCATTCAGCTTCTACACCTCTGGCATCTTGTAAATTTTAGAATTGATTAATGAAGTTTACTAACATGATTTTAACGATTTGTTATTCAATAAAATTCCGAAAGTTATGAAAAATTCTCTAAACATCGTGAATTGCTGGTACTATATTTTTTGCTCCAATTCCCCTGATTCCGCTGTAATACGATACCTACAGACACGTCTGTTGATAGTATTATCTCGGACAACAATGAGCCGACAAGGTTCTATTTTTTCGCTGCTGTCCACACAATTTGATGTTGATGAGGCCACTCGGTCAACAAATGGTTCTGCTAAGGCCAGAGGGAGCGAAGAGAGAGAGAGAGAGAGAGAGAGAAAACGAGAGAGAGAGAGAGAGACAGAATGGACAAATTCCTTCGGCAAAGTCCAAACGACGAGGCGATCAAGTGGGGGTGGATGGTACGGGTCCGGAAAGGAAGGAAGTAGCTGATTCAGTGGTCAAGCAAAGGCCAGAATTTCGACTACGTGCCACTGAACCTTCAAAACAGAATTTTCTTGGTATCTGAATTCGTGTAAACTCGAAATTTGGCTAGAGAGTGGAAAAATGTGAAAAAATTAGAAAATACAAAACGATTAAAGCAAACATTTTGGAGTTGTCACTATCACTTTAAATATAGAACAATGGCGAGCGGATGCAAAAGTTTTTGTATAACTTCATAACTTACGGGTGCTGAAGTCAACGTGGGATGGTCGTTCTCAATCATCGAGAGGAGCCGCAACAACCTCATCGTGCCATCTTCATTGAGATCAAAACTGTTGTGCACCGCTCCCTCGTCCTTCAGGAAAACTGGGTGGTGGACTTTGGCTGAAAGAACTAATTAAAATAATTTTTAAGGGTTTCAAGGTATTTTGCAGGATTTTCGTGTAGTTGGCTATACCTTAGCGCTTTTATAAATAATTATTTTTACGGTGCAGCTTGGCTATCCACGTATGCTGCAGGTTTGGCCCGATGGCTCCTTTAAAATGCTATAAATTGCCTCAGTTTATGAAACCGTCTTCTAAGTTCCTTTAAGTGCCTTATAAATACCGTAAAATTTTACTACCCTTGAAATTCAGAACTGTCAAATTTTTTAAAATTTTGAAAAGTCCTTACAAAGTCCGGAGCCGAAAAATCGAACTTTGCCCCCGAATTTTGTTAGTATTTGCGCGGTTCCAATGGCCAATATTTACTATTTACCAGTAGCCACCGTGTTGACATTTGCCCCAACCAATTAGCACATAAAAATCCGGCCATTTTTTGAGGGAGCGGGGGCAATATTGAGGTGAAAGGGTAAGGGGGTGGGTAAAGTTTGCGGTATACTGGCTTTTGTCCTGATATTGACATATTCTTGGGTGGCTGGGGCGGCTTTTCGAGGAGTCCCGCGGCTGTCACCAGCAAATATAGTACAGTGCCGGAATCTACCACTACTCACTAGCCAGGGAGCGCTCAGATTCTGATAGTACTCTTGGCTACTCTGCACAAATAGATGAGAAAAATGGCAACTAACATGTTTGTCGCGTGGGCATTGTTGTCTAATGCTTGCATACGGTATGATGAAAATCTGGAATGCACTAGCGAATAATGTTGCGTGATCGAATCGAATGGATTTTTAAAAGGAAACCTGGCCAATGGAAACCCGCATTCAAAGCAACCCAGCGGAACTGCTAAAAATATGCTGATACTACTACCTCAAAAGCTCCAAAAAGTAATAATCTCTGTTTCGCCACTGTTTTTTTTGCTTTTGGCTATTTGCATCAAACAGCTGGGTGGTGTTTGGATGGGTGTGACCCGGAACGGTCTGACCAGTCAGTCGCCACCCTTATCGCGGTACAATGGAGAAGCCTACTATTTGCTAAGGACCCCGGCGGTGTGATTGCCTTGTTTTGAGGGTCGATGGCCGCAATTCCGGTGGCCATGATTCCGTGATCAGTATCGAAACGGAAATATTGAAATTGGAGTCGCCCACAAAAAAACAAAATTTTTTTGGAGGTTTTTGAAGTTTTGGAATTCATAATTGAGTTCGAAATTGGCCTAAAAATCGTGTTTTTACGGCTTACAGAAAAGGAAGCTTTCAAGGAAAAAGTAAATGAATTTTTGAAAAACAGGACTGAAATAAATTCTATTTTATTTGTATTAGACAAATTTCGAAGTTTGTTCAATTTTTGAATTTTTTTGCTTAAGGCTTTTTTTAAAAATACCCACCATGCTGCGCTCCTGACGTCTCCTCCCTGAGTTTGTGCTCGTAAACCGTTCGCATACTGTCGTAATTCTTGTCCGTGCACAGGATGGTCCACAGCTTTTGCCGCACTTCATGACTGACCGGCCAGCCGCCTTTTCGTAGAAGTTTTTTCACCTTAAAATACGTAATTGAAAGGGTTACGGTAATCCAAAAAAGCTCATTTTTTACACGTTGCTCGAATATCATTTTTCCAGGTATTAGTAATTGAGGAATACGTTATTACATATCGATGCTTTTGTAGATTTTACGCATACTCAAACACGAATTAAAAATAAAGCTTTAATTTAGAGATACGGTATTACGATTCGATCTTTTTTCAAATCTTACCCGTGCTTTAACGTCAATATTAAAAGTACACTTAGGTAAAAGACATTATTGCTAAATTTTGTAAGGGCTCTAATTAATTTTTTACAAATGTTTTTTAGCTCTTGTTTTTGAAAACTCCAATTATTGCTTAAATATCATTTTCATATGTATATTTCCTTAATTCCCCACCGAAAGCGGGGCCCGCCAAATCGCGAAACAACAATTTTGAGGCTTAGCACCGGAGTCAGTCTCCTCTAACAACCGATTGTACACCATTAACGCGCGAATCTATAGGGTGCAAGACTATCCGAATACTCCAGAAATTCGAGAATGTGCAACTCGGACTTTTTGAACTGGCCGAGTCACGCGTTCCGCAAACACGTTAAAATTCACGGTATTCAGCAGGGCGAATTCGGATGAGCAACGATTTTTCGAGAGTTTGGTGGTGTCGTTTGGAATTTACGAGCAGTATAACTTCAGCAGAAAAATGGTCAAGAATGGGTGTCAAAAAATCTTCAAATTTTTAATAATTTGACGTGCTTTTTTTAATTTAATTGTTAATTATTAAATATAATATTAATAATATTATTTAATATTAAGGTTGATATAACTTTAAAAAATGGTTTAAAATCCGGATTTTCAGCTTTTGTTTAAATTACTGTATTGCGAGCGTAAAACCTTGGATTCGAATAACTTCAAACTTTACAAAATGACCACCGGTCCAAAAGGTAACAAATTATAAAAATTTTCAAATTAAAAAATACACGTAACAATTTAATAGATGTTGTGTAAAATTGATGGTATTAAAAGTGGTCGATACTTTACAATAAATTTTTAATAGGTCCGTTATCTGTATACTCAGCACTAATGAATCTCAAACACCTCAAAAAAATAGCCTATTTTGCATACTAACAGAAAGCCCGGATTTCCCCGATTTCCTACCTGTCCCAATTTTTCCGCGCTTATGTCGAGGTCATAAAAATGATCGAGTACGAGTCGCTCCTCAGCGACAATCTCTGATTCGCGTCTAGACGCGGTTGGCTCGTAATCAGTCAAAATCCCAGAATCGGTAGAATCAACTGAGCAATAGCTCGTCTGTTTGTAGGCCCTTCTCCGCTGCTCGATTTTCTTGCAGTCGGCCTCCGAAATGGAGCTGATCCGCTGGACGCGGTTCATGATAAATGCCATCTTGCGTGCCGTCGAATTTTGCGGTGTTTGGGTTTCGGTAGATCGCATTCAAGGTTTTGCTTCTTCTGGAGAAATTTGGTTATCAGAGGGAATTTGGAATACGAAGCGCTGAGAACAAATATAAAGGGGTGGGAAGTGGTTAGGAAATAGGTATCAGAGGGTGAAGAGAGAGAGAGAGATAGAGAGAGAGAGCGAGAGAGAGAGATACCTCTCGCTAGAAAATGTCAATGGAAAAACTCTAGAACTGCTAAACTTCTGAACGTTTGAGTGATTCAGGAGTACGGTAGACTGGGCGCATACCAATTGCAACAGTTTTTCAAAAAACTAACGACGGTAAGTAAAGCGTCCAGTTTTGGAATTCACGACATAAATAATAAAAATTTGCATCTAGCTAATTTTAAGGGGCCTGGGAATCCGCGAAAATAAAAAATTCATGGCTTTAAATGATTCAAAAAAATTTAGTAAAGTAAAAAAGCCGGTTTCTTTTATGCTAATGTGTGATAGCGGCTCAATTAAATTGCGAAAACCAGCGTGAAATCTTAGAAAACTAAATTCGCGTTCAAAAAGGCGATTTGAAGATTTTCGACCTCAAAAATTCGTTGAGCTCCATAAAATACGCTACACGCTCTTAAGACTGTTTTCCGGTATAGATCGCGAAAATGGTGGAGGGGCGAGGGTATCGGAAGGGGGGCTGGGCATGGTGTGGAAAATGCGGGGGACCGCGGGGGTCCGGGCCGACCGGGAGCCCCCTCCATTCTCTTCCAATTCTGTACAAATAGACAGACCGACAAACGGACACCAATGGAAAGAGAGAGAGCGAGAGAGAGAGAGAGAGAGAGAGAGAGAGAGAGAGACAGTGGGCCCAGGTGTCACCTAGCGAACGCGCGGACGCGGGTGCGGAAGGCTGGAAGGGCCCGGGTACGCGGGGATCCTGTGTTTCCGCCCAACCCAAAAATTTTGCTATAAAAGGTATCAGTCACTTATTTTTCTGATCTATAAATGCTAAAAGTATAATTCGGTTAATTTTAAATGTAGGACCCGAAAACTCCGCTCAAAAATGCCGATAACGTCTAGAACTGCACCGTGTAGAGGAGCGTAACGTAGTCGAATCGTATCCTCAGGGGCTAAGGGTCTTTAAAGGTAAGTGAAGCTCCATTTCATGCGAAAAAAGGGTGAAAAAATCTGAAATAGCTCGATGCCTCCTTAGCCCTTTATAAATAATCCCCCATTTCCGGTGAAGACATCCTTTTTTAACCGAATTCCCGCTGAATCATCAATTGCGTTCTAAAACAAGTGCGAGGAACGTATAACGGCCACGGAGTGGCCATTTCTATACGTGTAATTGCATAATTTTTCAGATAATTTCTGGTTTCAGTTTTGAAAAGTTGGCAATGGCCTATTCAGCCTGGGTTTTTTTTTTAATTCGTGATAAGCCGGCGCCATTTTATTGCGTTTTTTGGAGCGTGGTAAGCTAGAGGTCCGGTTCGGGTAACGGGAAAAGTTGAGGGTAGACCTGGTAAAAAACTATTACGGTAGAAAGGCACAGATAACTTATTTGGAAAATGTCGAGATCTGGCTAAAAAGCGAACGGTAGGGGAAATGTGCTTACTCCGCCTAGGCGCTTCCGGAAAAACAAGGCTAAAATCCCCGTCCTAAGAAGCGTCTTTCTTCCGATTCCGCGTGTGTACGCTTGCGGACGCTTGCCGCCAAACGCCCAAAGCAAAGAAAATGACCCGCGCGAACACCGTGTCCATTTTGCCGGCGCGTTTTTCTCGTGTTTGCACCCGAGTTTTGTGGCTATTTGCAGACGACCGCGAACCGCGTGTACTCGAGGTGATAAGTCGCCGGGAAAATAGAGAAAGAGCACACTGGAGCATTTTTGGAACACACGAGACTATGGTAACAATGGCCGGCAGGCAGCGTGTGTACACAAAATACTACAGTTTAATCGGATTGCAACGGTTTTAGGAAGCAAAGAGCGCGCAAAATTTAGGCAGCGACCTTGCGGCATATTTTGTGCGCGCTGGAAAATTGGGCAACAATTAGAATATCAAAATCTTTTTACAAGCGAAAATTCAGGGGGTCAATTAAAAATACAAAATACCATAAAAATGCGCAATGAAAGTCGAGAATTTTTATGAAGCTTTTTTAAAGATAATGAAATTTTAAATTGTGATTTGAACTCATTTTTCATCGGGTTTAAATATGACTGGGTTATTACAAATTAATTTGCTTATTTTCAAGCTACTTGCGAAAGATAATCAAAATATTTTTCAGCTAGTTAGGCCAATTTATGCAAATTTTTCTCAAAAACGAAAATCTATTTCGTAGAATTTTTAAGCTTTTAGAAATTCGTCTTTACATTTTTAAGCTCAACTTTACATAAAAACTCTTGAAACTCGGTTATTTTTTAGTTTTTAAAGTGGCAAAAATGAGAAAATCCTATATCATAAACAGGATCCCACAGGTCTAGGTATCTTGTACATCTCCTCTAAAGTATCCTACTAAAAATACCCTGCAAAAGTGTTCTCTCAACTCTCAAATCTCAGACAACCATCAAAAAACAGCCTTGCAAAGGTACAAAGGCACTCAGGCTTCTTAGGAAATCCTTGCGTCCACGTGATATCCGCATTTCTTTATAAACGGTCCGGGGGGGCAGAAAATAGGGTGGAAATAGGGGAAACAGCAGGAAGCGCCGCCCGGAAATAGCCAGTGTCCTATAAACAAGACCGTGCTGTCGGGGGGTGGCCGGCTGGCCGGGAAATTTGAAATCTGTCCTATGCAAATTTTGGGGAACACCTATATACTCGTAGGAACACCTGAAAAACCCGTCAACAACCCCGGAAATAATGTGAGAAAATGTGACTGGGCGGTATTAGTTTGGTATTATAACAAAAGACACGCCCATGTCGACGTATGCAAAGTTATGAATCGTCGCGGATAGGTGGAAACTAGATGGCGGCGTGACGATGTTTTGCTGGGTTTTTGTACCATGTAAAAACTAGAAATCCGCCGGAAGAACTAGAAAAATAGAATATTTTTACAAAAACTAAGCCATTTTACAAATGTACCAGGATACTTTTGTTTCCCTTTAACTTTTCAATAAACATCTCTATGCTAATTTGCCCATTTCATCTATTTTTAATAAAGTATAAAACAAACAAACCATTTTAGCGGTCAAAAACTTAAATCTGCGTGTTTTCGCTTCGCAACACGGGGCTTTCGTAAAAAAACCCTGGTATCTGAGAGAATATACTAAAATAGTTAAAATTAACTAGTGCTAACTATATGATACTACCGACAAATTATAATGAAATCATAAGCTAAGTAAGAAAATCCTGTTCATATTGCGCTACTAAATTCTTAGTTAAATTGGCTTAATTCTTTCTAATAATAATATTTTTCATCGACAGTTGACTTTTCTAAGATTTAATGGATGGACAAGGCTAGGCTTTGTAAGAAATATACGAGATATCTGAGAGTATTATGCAAATCCGAGTGCCCCCTTTATAAAGGTCAGCACCATTTCGTAGTCTGTAGCCGGATAGCCCGGAGGGAAGGGGGCTGATCTCTAAAGGTTGGTGGCGATGACGTAGCCAGTCCCGTAAGAGCAGTATTTCGCAGTTGTTGATGCCCCCGGGGTAGGCAGATGGTAGATATGCAAATTTCCACATGATCATTGGCTATTTTAGAAGGTTCTCGAAAGGTGTCGAAAAAGGGGCGGATCTTCGGGATACGATTATATTGCGTTCATCAACAAATCCAACTTTTCCGCGTTTTTATACTTTTAACGATACAAAATTCTAAAAAGCTTGTATGCAAATTTTTTAAGAAAATGTTTCTGGAGAGAACCAGCAGATTAAATTGGCTGAACTTCAAATAGATATTTCCAAGTTATGCCAATTTTGTAAGTTCGAACGACGAGAGAGAGAGAGAGAGAGAGAGAGAGAGACAGAGAGAGATCCAGCAGGCCAGAGCTACAGGCTGTTTCGAAGTAACTTAAGCTATAAATACCCTGCCCATATGACGAAATCCACAAATTATTCCAAGTCCAAGACAACAGAAGCTGCCCTAGAATTCGTACAGTCCACGCCGTGTGAATCATCGCGTCAGCCCGTTTTTTCGTGCGGATCCGAACGAATACAAATTGGGGGGTGGGCGGGGCTGAGTACGATGCCAAGCACGAAATGGCAGATCAAGACAATAAAAGATTTCTCAAAAGTCGTGAATTTGATGCTGGATTTAAGTACTCCTCTGTTTAGCTAAGAACCGCCGTTGAAGGAGCGCCCAAAAATTCGCATGAACCATTCACAATTCTGCTTTTCGAAGACAATTCAAGACCGTTTCTGCTGCGACAATTTCGAGCAGTCCAAATAACAACAAAAGACGCGTGACGCGCCCGGTCCAAGTGGCCAGCAGAAATGAGGCTTTGATTTTGTCTGTTTTGGACTATTGCTCGGGGTAAGGAAAACAGCTTCTGTTTTCTACTTTGGTTGGGGCGGTTGCGGAATTTTAAAAGGTAATGGTTTTTAGGATGGCAAAGAAAAGGTATAGTTTTTATATTTATCATTTTTTGCTTACGTACCATTCAATCTATATTTAAAAATAACACAAATGACGAAAATTAAAGGGTTTTATGGTCCAAATTTGAATACGAGGCACATTTAAGATACCATATGTAGAAATTATAAATTATAATATAGCGCGAAGAAACTAGCAACTATTGTGACGAAAAACCTAACCAAACCTCCTAATTTTTGAAAGCGTTAAATTTTACTGTGATATCGTATTTTTATTTTATGAAACCTTTCAAGACGACATTCGAGCAACCGTAAAATTCGTAAAATGCACAAAAATTAGCATTAATACTTCTTTATAAATGCCACCCACCTTATCCTGTCGATTCAGCCTCCGATTCTCGACAATGACGTCGATTCGCGACGGGACTTCCGACTCCAGGATCGGCAAATTTGCATACTTTGAGAAAGTAGGCACTTGCA